TGTAATTCTGCAATTTTGCAATTGTTCGTCCCTGTGCTGCTTAGTTCTGAGTAATCCCTTCTATGATCCTGTGTGTTGAAATCCTATACCCTCTTATGTACACTTTTTAAAATTATAACTATTTTGCAATTGGGCTGCGGTTCAGCTAACAAGTAGGGACATCAGATCAGCAAATTTTCTTCTTGTATTGTGAAACTGACTGATAGAGGGAATCTGAAATTGATTAGGCTAACCATTATAAAATTGACTAAACTAGCAATTCAGGACTGGCTAGATAGCTCAGTGAGTTAAGTATCTGGCTGCAGTGTCAGAGGTCAGGATTTCACTTCTGCACTGTGTATCCTACAAAAGCCAGCCTATGTAGCCTCAGGCAAGCTGTATAGTCCCAGGATGCTCCCTGAAAAAGAAAGGTGTAAGTCACTTCTGAGTACTCTCTACCTATAAAACCCTAAAAAGGGTCACCATAAGTTTGAATTGACTTGACTTGACAATTCAGAATTCTTATCCAAAATTAGTGTTATTTATATAGTCTGATTTTTAACCATGTTAAAACATTCTTGTGCTGCAGGCATTTTAAGAAAATGATTTTTTAGAACTGTAACTTGACAGAATAATGCAATCAAAAGCAAGAAAAACAGTAAAGTGTTCTACTTTGGTTGTGAAACTGACTCGATCAGTTTGTGAAACTGACTAGGTTAGAGATTGGACATTCTCTATGCCTAATTTACTGAAAAATAAGCCTGATTACAATCTTTCTGCGCTATGCTGCAGGGACTCTTTAAAAGCTTCACTTACTTCAAAGAAAAAATATATTTTAAAAAACAGTATACTCACCCACTTCAAAATTTCAGTCTTCTAATCTACAGCAGAAATAGCCATCACCTGGAAGAAGCCAGAAACACGGTGAAATTAAAGGGGCTCTTGAGGTGCCTACTAGTCCATCACTCCTATAGGCAGATGGCCGCACTGTCAAACTGCTCTTACAGTAAAGATGTTTTTTCCTAATGTTCTGTTCAAATCTACTCTTTGCAGTGTAAGGTCATTTTCATTCTGCCTTCTGAGCAGCTATTGTAGCAGTTATTGTGGTGGTCTGTATACGGCTTATGAAGATGTCATAGACCTCTGCACAGGCATAGCTTCTGGCTGTGACTACATAGTTAAAGAACTGTCTTTTGTTTGGCTGGGTCACATCTTAATCTTCTAGGATAACCAGTTTAGGACGATCAGAGAATGAAATATGATATAAAATCAGACATGCATTTCAGAGTTACCAAACTGAGTTTGAGACATTTCTTTAGTAGTTTTAGGGTTTTCTTAAAATTAATTCAGAACAATTTGAAAAACACTGATATTGGACAAGCTGAATCGGAATGAAATTAAAAGTCAAAAGGATTGGCATGAGAAGAGAGAGTTCTTCTGTCAACAGAGCAGAAGGTCAAATGTCTGAGATGGTGATCAATATTGCCAGAGACTGTCCTTCTACAGGAATCTTGTAGGTGGTTACAGAAATCATTTTTAAAAGAACAAGAAATCTTCCATTTTACTTTGTCCTGTGTTCCTACGTATAGACTCAAACTATTTTAGAAAAATTAGAACTAGACTAAATATATTAAAATGCATATAACTTAAGATGAAATATATTCTGAATATGTATATATTATTTCAATAGTTGAATTAAAAAATGAAATATACTGTATTATGAAACTGAATATGTGATTAACTGCTCTGTAAACCTTTTATATTGGCCTTAGGTTTTTGTTAACAAGTTGACTTGTTTTTCATAACAAGTTTATTTTTAAATCCCAGTGAAAGAGAGTAACAAGTGAAACCAATGTCTACAGTACAACGTAGATCAGCTTATAGTAACATTGCTCAATACGACCTCAGATATAACTGAGGAGGATTTTGAAAAGTTGAAACTTGTGGTTTTTGACAATGAGAAGTGTCCTGGATGTCATGAAGTAATCACTATAGCATTGACTTAATTTCAAAAAAGCAAAAGCAAAATTGTAAGAATTCCTAAATACCTTTTTGAAGAGTAACTCCACAATGGCATCTGTTCTGAGATGTGACTGTTCAAATACTGAAGAGGCTGCATTCTCTTTCTTTATGCTCTTTTTCCACTCTGACTCTAGCCTAGTTTCTGCCACTCATTTTCTGTTTCTGCAGAAAATCTACTTCATTGTGGTCAACAAATATAATAATGCCCTGCTTCCCATCTCTGGTTCTTGGACAGTGGGACATATTTGTAATTAACATCTGGCAATCCATGTCAGAGCTGCAGAAAGAAATGAAATGCCTGTGTGTGTAAGTGCATATGTACCCAGACATGCTCAGTGAAGCTTTCATTCTAGCAAGCACCAGGAACAATTTTATCATATAACAGGGACCCAGCTGGCAGTTTCCTACAGGGCTGGTTGCAGAATTTAAGGTTGAATTAGTAGTCCTGAGGCACTCCCAGACAACACAGGGCTGTAAAGTCTGTGCTGGGTTTTGTGTAGAAAGCCCAGTCATCTGTGTATGAGCTACCAGCCTTAAGCTTCTGAGCTGAAATCCGGTGTGGCCTGCCAAGAAAGATCAGCATCGTCCACTGACTAGGTACATTGAACACCCCAGGCAATGCTCAGAGGAAACAGACAGCCACTCCTTGTGCAGTAGCTGCTGTAAAAGCAGGTGTCAGCTGCAACTGGCTGGAGACACGTTAGCATTAGGGTGATCATTTTCACCCTCTTGAAAATAAAGAGCAGGAAGTGAAAGTAAGAATGATGCTCAAATGTCAAGTTTCTCCAGATCTTCAAAGAAAGTGCAACCATCATTCAGTCTGCCCACCTTTTTAGAAAATGTAGCAAGTTTATTAATACTCCATATAAGACAACCTGTTCGTTACCTGAAAAGTTCTGCAAACAGAACCTGCACAGCTTTTTCTGCCACATGAAAGTTACAATGATGTGAACTCGACAGCTGAATGTTCCCCCCTCTGTAGAGCTCTCAAAAGGAGAGGGGCTCCACTCGGAATTGCATATTGCTAGCCAAAGAATGTACAGTACTGTATGTGTGTTGATTAATAATATGAGAATGTACAGTACTGTATGTGTGTTGATTTACAATATGCAGTGGTACCTCGTCTTACAAACGTCTCTACTTATGAAAATTTCCACTTACAAACAGCTCTGGTCACAACTTTTTGCTTCAACTTGCGAACAGAGCTTCCACTTACGAACAGAAAGGGCAGGGAAAAAAGGCAGGCGATTCAACTTTCTAACTGTAGGTGGCGACGAGGCTGCTTCTTTGTGCTGTAGCTCTTTCAGCAGTTATAGGGTGTGTCGCAGTTGGAGGCTTGGGAGAGCCTCCTGCTTCGGAGTGAGCGTGTGTGTATGTGTCTGCAGGGAGGTAAGCTGCTGTTTACTCCTTTAAAAAACTGTTCTGAGTGGGTTTTGGTGGCTCTGTTTCAGAGTGGGTGTTTGTGTGTGTGTGTGTGTGCAGGGAGGATTTGTTTCTGTGCTCTGCTTCAGAGCGAGCGTGTGTGTGTGTGTGTTTTTTTGGAGTTTTTTATCTTCTTAAACCTCAGCAACGGAGGTGGCTCTAGTGTTTGTTTTTTGAGGTTTTTTTCTTAAAGTCCCAGCAATGGAGCATAGCGGGGGGGGGGGAGCCGTGGCTGCTGACCGGAGTGAGGGAAGCTCCGGAGGAGCAGGAGTAGATGGGCGGGCAGGCAGGTGAGCGCTTCCCGGCCAGTCTCTGAGCCTCCCTTTCTCTCCTGGGTTTTGTTTTGTTTTTTGCAGCCCCAGCGCCTTCGGGGCTTCCTCTGTTTATTTTTGGGTGGTTTTTTGTTTGCAGCCCCAGAGCGTTCCTATGGGGCTTGCAGTTTTTTTGTTTTTTAGGCGTATTTTTTTCTTCGGCTGGAACGGATTAATCTGTTTTCAGTGCATTCCTATGGGAAATGGTGCTTCGACTTACGAATGTTTAGAGTTACAGACACTGTTCCTATACGGATTAAGTTTGTAAGTCGAGGTACCACTGTATATATAACACAAGATACAATTATGCATAGCTGGATATGGAACAGATTTATGCAATTAAAAACAAAGGAGTATGACTAGTGCTGTAGCATTATTTAATTTCCTGCATTTTTCATGTTTAGACTATGTTGTCACTTATGTAACCAAAATGGCATCAGCCATCCACGAGAGAAAGAAATCAAATTTGCAGAAAACCTTTGGTTTCGAAGAATACAGAAGATGTTTAAGAAAACAAAACCTATGAGGGAGAGTGAAGACATCCCCCCAACCAGCCCAATGAAGACTAAATATTCTCAGTGACCATGGGATACTGATGGTTTGGGAATATTCACCTCCTCTAGAACCAAGTGGGAGAGGAATATTCCACAGTGCAACATTTGGTTGCAGATCTCACATGTTCCTTTTCTGTTAGTGCTGCTACCTGTCTTCATTTGATTTTGTACTGTACTTCCAATATTATATGTCACGGGAAAGGTAGCAGCAGATAATCAGTGCTTCTCACAAGAGCTTATTCTTGTGATATTCATGCAGTAAGGAACGTAAGTGGAGGTCTCTTCTCTTCATAGGAAGATAGGCCCATGCTTTAAAAAAATCTCAAGAGCCTCTGAGATAACATTCATGTAAGAGTCAATGAAAGCTAGCCTGATTATGGGAAGCAGGTTCTGAATATGAAGCAATTTATCCCCACCAAACATGTTCCCTTTGAAACAGCAAATTAGATGTGCAGCAGGATTTGGTCACACTTCAAAGAATAATATGCAGAACTGGAGATCCATCTGTTTTCTCTTTCACTGAGGCTCCTGTATGTTAAACAGGCTTTTGATAACTTCAAAGCTTGTTTGAAGTTCTCATTGTGCATAATTCAGGCACAAAAACCAAGGATGCTTAACATTATTACTATCTGATATTTTCTGTTAGTTTTAATCTGTGATGGAAAACAATTTGTTCTTGCTTCTTATCATTTTATTTTCTTATATGTTTTAGCTATGACAGCGAAGGGAGACTAACCAATGTCACATTTCCAACTGGTGTAGTTACCAACCTGCATGGTGAGATGGAAAAGGCCATTACTGTTGACATTGAATCATCTAGTAGAGAGGAAGATGTCAGCATCACTTCAAATCTATCATCAATTGATTCTTTCTATACAATGGTCCAAGGTATAGTAACCAAATTTAATAAAAATACTCTTTCTGAGAGGGAGAAAACAAATCATGCCATGTATGATGCCTGGCTAGAATCAAATATCATGCTGAAAATATTACAGCTCATTTTTCAGCATAATTGAGAAGACAGATTAGCTGTATTTGGGGTATGTAATTTACTAATGTTACTGGCCCAGCTGTTTTCCTTGGTGTCTGAAGACAGTTGTTAATGATGTTAGATACCATTGTATATTCTTTGTTTTCAACTTAAATATTATGTTCCAGCGTTGTAAGCCGCCTTGGATCCTTTTCAAGGAGAAAGATACGGTAATCATGTTTTAAATAAATAAACTGCAGGTACAAGAAGCATAATCTTGCTCAGAAATCTTTAGTGAACATGTATTCTCAAGGCTTTCACGGCTGGGAGCACAGAGTTCTGACTCTTGTCCTCTGAAGATGCTGGCCACAAAGACTGGTAAAACATTAGAAAGAAAAACCATAAGAACATAGCCAAACAGTCTGGAAAACCCACAACAATCTTTAGTGAATATCATAGGCATACAGGTATTGTGTTGATAAAAGTAAATTTGGAAACATGTACAACTGTGGAAAATAACTATGCTCTCTGCAGTATATATGGGGGATACTGATTGAACAAATACATGTGCCAAATTGGACTCTACATGTGGTTGAAGAATTAGAATGCTTAATGGAGTGTAGAAAACAGAAGATCACTGTCTTGATTTCCATTGAAAATTCCCTCTGAAAAGCCATGGCCTATAAAGTATACTGTGTTTTTGTTTCATTTCAGATCAATTAAGAAATAGCTACCAAATTGGGTATGATGGGTCTCTCCGAATTATCTATGCCAGTGGTCTGGACACACACTACCAAACGGAACCACACGTTTTAGCTGGCACAGCCAATCCAACTGTAGCAAAAAGAAATATGACCCTTCCTGGAGAAAATGGACAAAATTTAGTGGAGTGGAGATTCAGAAAAGAACAAGCCCAAGGCAAAGTCAATGTGTTTGGCCGAAAGCTCAGAGTGAGTAATATATCTAATTCATTTTTATTTGAAGATAAGATATGTCACAGACTTGCAGTAGTTGAAATGTACATCTTGTCCCTTGGCTAATTTTTCAGAACTATTCAGATAAAAGTGGAATGGCCTTCAGTAGTTATAATTTGAGGGCAAATTTTGAAGGATAGAAAATACCTTGAAGAACAGCATCCTCACTCAGGCATTAAGATTTACATATTGATTTCAAAATCTTGTTTGTGGAACAGGCATTAATGAATTAGCTTTACTGAGAATCATTATTACACAGTAATTTTAAGAGAAAAGAGCCTCTTATTCATATAGTCATGTATTTTGATTTTGTAATATTGTATGATTATTTTTTTGATTTTTGATTTTGTAATATTGTATGATTATTTTACATTTGACTCATTAAAATATTAATTATATTTTTAAATGATGCTTTTTCATTCAAATAAATAAGAAACAATAAAAGCCATGTTTGAAGAAAGATTGGTTTAATGTATTCGCGAAGGCTTTCATGGCCGGGATCTAATGGTTATTGTGGGTTTTTCGGGGTCTTTGGCCATGTTCTGAAGGTTGTT